TTCAGTTGTTTACTTTGAAGTCAATCAATCAATCAAGGCTTTATTCGCCACGTGCAGGTTGCCCTGCAGTGAAATGGGGGAAAACAAAAAAACTCCTCTGCACATAAATGTCCACAGCACAACATTATGGAACACGTGACAAGCCACAGGATTGGGTAGGGGGTGAGGAGTAATCCGAAGCAAACACAGCAGAGTGTGTGTGTGTGTGACAGAAATCTGGCTGTAGACACTGTGGGCTGACAGGTTACAGCTGATATAGATATTTAGGTTCGTCTTCCTTAACCATGTTTAAAGTGGACAGCATGTATCCTTGTATTCCGTTAGTAACTGCATTTAAATAGGCAATAGTGACAGGCTTGCTGTGATGTGCGTGGTTAGTGTCAGGTAAACGTGCTCAGGCTGTTTGGTTGGTGGTCACTCTGCTGTCTAAAAATAACTCTGTGGTTTGTTCAATTTCCAGAGACCTGTTGGGGCTTTGATCGACACCGCAGAGACAGAAGCAGAATCGCACAATCTCTACCACAAGGTACCTACGTTACTCAAACTTGTTTTTTCGTTCACTCAGCCCATGAAAATGTTCAGTGTTAGCTGCGACTCAGTGGCGATACCTTTTTAAAATACTGAGAAGACGTTAAAGCTGAAGGCATGGTAAGAAGCAGAGCTCACTGATGGAACGCTGCATTTCTGATCCGAGCACAGTTGACATTTAGCGTGATGGCCATCTACGGTTCTTTATCAGCAGGCCGCCGCTGACGAGTCCAGTGACCACCATTTCCGCAAACCAGCCAACGACATCACATCTCAGCTGGAGATCAACTTCGGAGACCTTGGCCGCCCCGGTCGCGGGCGTGGGGGCGCACGTGGTGGGAGGGGAGGCCGCGGCGGGGGAGGCAGCAGGACGGCACGCGGGGGAGGACGTTCCGAAAAGGTAACGGCAAAAAAAACAGCTGCCGACAACAAAGGTTTAGTGTCCTGCACAAAAGAGTTGGCTCTCTGACTGAACCGGCTGTAAAATCACTGAGTTGGAAAAACCTGCTGTGGATCACTAAGACCCTGTAATAACAGAGCACTGAACACATGCTCCACCACGCAGGACTCAGTTACTGACCTCATGTCAGTCAGGCAGGGGAATTGTCCTGAATACTGGTGTCTAAATTTGAATAAAGCACCTGCTTTTTCCTTTCTTTTCTTTTTTTTTTTCATTGTCAATAAATTTGACATTCATATTAATAATGGGTTTCAGGCGAATGTTAGTCAGTCTAAGACGTTTTTTAGCAAAGCTACACCCGGTCTGTATCACAGAGTGTGTGTATGTGTACATCTAAGTATACGCTATAGTTGTTAGAACTTCATTTAATGTCCATGTATTTACTAGCTTAGTAAAGACAATAAGTCAGTGTTATCCTATTTGACACATCTATACTGTTTCTTGTTTGTTTTTGACTATTTGAGCAGAAATGTGGATTATGCTTGAATTACTTAACAAAACTGGTTAAAAGCTGAAAAAAATGTTATGCTATGGATAAAATGTCTTAGAGGAGTTCCAAATATTTTCCTCTATGCAGACAAAATTGTAAATATACATGTTTATAATATGTACAAATCCAGGTACAGTCCCAGCAGAAGTGTCAAAAGCCTCTTGTAAAGTGAAAAACTTAGTTTTAAGCCTGAAAATCAAAAGTAAGCTTTAAGACAATAACAAGCTCCCTGTAACTGAAGGGAGCTACAGAGGTGACTGATGGATTCAACACTTCAGCTGACCGCATACAAAGACAATTTACTTACACTCCATTGATAGCAGCACTGCCTCCTTCACTTTACACCTACGTCAGCTGCTCATCCATAGAAACACATGTTGTGAAGGTCCCAACACACGGTTATTGAGTCTGCAGGACTTTTTGTACACCATGTGCCTCAGCTATCACCAACCCACAGCCCAGAATTCGCAGATTAAACAATGTAGCTACTCCACCCAACTTGTCTCTGGGTTGGGTTGTTCCATTTTTTAAAACCAAAAATTTTGCATTATGCAAGTTGAGATCTTTTTGCTGTTGTTTAGTTTGATTGAGAAATAATGCGCTCTGTTGTTTTTCCAGCTAACACTTACAAACTTGATAGATTCACACACCAGATCAGCATCCTTGGACTTTTGATTGTTAACCGTACAATCAAAAGTACGGTGTCTGTAGGCCCGAGCCCTAGAGGTGAAGTCAATTAATAGAGGTGAAGCCTCCCAAGTATAATAGTAGCCACAGACACCTGTGTAGGCATCTGCCTGTCACTCAAAGTGGCCCTAAAACTGCATTATTTATGAGTATTTAAACAGCTTTAATGGGTATGTTATAAAAGGAGTAATGATGGGGGTTATTGGTTACAGAGATGAAACTCTTTTTGTAGCAGGCTGTAAATGCTTTTCTTCAGTGAAGTTCTGCATTTTAACATGCGAGTATAGGGATTGACTCACTTTTGGAGCCAGCCTCAAGTGGCCATTGGAGGAACTGCATGTAAACCAGCTTCATTTCAAGCCGTCCTAACATTGTCCTGGTTCTTGTCTGCTTGTTCCCACCAGGCTAGTGGAGTGTCAGTCCCCAATGTGGATGATCCTGAGGCCTTCCCAGCCCTGGCCTAAAAAGGCTCCCTCTTTCACCACCAGCCCACCCATCAGCCCTTCCGGGCCCCTCCTCTACGAGGCTTGCATGCTTACCACATCTTCAAGTATATAAGAAAAACAGAGAAAAAAAAATAAATGACACAAAAAGACTGTCATCCCATACCACTCACATCACCCAAGGACTTAAATTTTACCTGTTTTAAAGGAGACTAAAAGACAAAAAAAAAGGGCAGAAAAGGACCTCTTGTTACACTGAAGTTTTGTATTTAGGAACATGAAAGCAGGGATGTTTTCATACTTTTTTTTTTTCTTTTTTTCCCCCCAGAGATTACGCATACTTCATTGATATTTTTTGTGCTGCTTGAATTTCTGCATTTCTGCAATTAGATTGAAGTGTGTGTATTCCTCTTCTCCCCGTAACGACTTCAGCTCAGTATTATGGGATCATCTTTAGAAAAGGCTTTGTACTGGAGTGTATTTTTTGGCCCTCCCAGTAATACACGCTGATGTGGTAGCACTACACTACATTAGAACCTTGTACTTGTACTAGATGTCTGAAGTACGGCTTAACATGCATTTAAAGTGTAATTACTTGGATCCTGACTATCCATCCCTTTGCGAGGCACAAGTTGAGGATGGGTAACCAGGTTAAATGTGACTTCTACTAAAGCTTGGTATTTTTCTGCTTGTCGTGCAGTGAAAGTTGATGCCTCTTCTCATTGTTTTTTGTTTTGATAGTTTGCCTCTTTTTTTGGTGGACCAGTGGTTAGTAGTGTTTCACATCCCCTGATCCAGAAGTGCTACCCACTTTTATTTCTTTTTTTTTCCAAGGGTGTACCGGGGCCCAATGTATCTTTAGGCTGGTCCTCTTAGGTCATACAGGCTATACAACTTGTAATTTCAGGACCACTAAGCAAATATTGTTTTTGTTTTTTGTTTTGTTAAGAATATGCGTGCGGGCGTGTGTTTGTGTGAGTGTGTGTTGTTTGCAGCAAAGCGTGAGAGCGTGCGTGTGATTTTTGACAGCTAGTTGCTTAGGATTGAAGCATTTTCTCTGCTGAACTTGGCGTTCTCAAACAGGAGAGTGCAAGTTGTCGCCTGAAGTAGTTCTTAATGTCTTTTATGAAGTGATTGTTGAAATGTAGGTGAGAATGATAGCGTAGCTAGACCATGAACATATCTCGCTCTTTTAGAGTATCTGTTCTGTCTTTCAGATCTCAAAGCACTTGGTTTTATTAGCACCAATTCCTCCGAAGATTGTTTTTCTTCCCTTTTACTTTAAACCATAGTTGATGTTTTATTTTGTTTTTGGGTTTTTTTTGTAATCTTATTTTTATTTTAATCTGTGAACAAGCATCGATGCATAATTTGTCTGAAAGAAATGTCAGCGGTCATTGTGGAACAAGCTACAGAATGTAAAATGTGAGTTAAAGGTGCTCTCAGCTGCCTGTCTCAGCATTTTCCAGCAAGCATTTTAGTTTTTTTTTCTTTTAATAAAAGCAGGTGTGTGGGTTGGGGTGGGTGCAAGGCTGGGGTGGGGTGGGGGTGTCACACCGAAGACCTGATGGAGTGAATTTTTAAAGCTTTACTTGTCGCGCTCTGCAAAGACTTGCTGGCGACACGCTGATACAACAGGCTGGAGCAGTTTTCCTCGTAGGACCGTTTGAGCCACATGACATTAAAACTTTCTCTGCAAACATCCCTGTTCTAATAAAAATGCTTTAGAGGTGTTACGTCTGCTCTGTCAGTGGCTCCTTTAAATGCATTCACAGATGTGCTGTTTTCGGTAGTTTATTCAGTGCCAGTTCCTCATTTAGGCTAGAGTGAAAGAAACAGGGTGTTGTTTTTATGGGAATTTCAACTGCTGTAAATGACTTGTTAGCCTGTAATCTGTCAGACATATCTGTCATGGATAATATGGAGTCATTTTGAGCTGGAAATAACACTCCTGTCTCAAGGTAGAAGCTGAAATCAGTTTTTGGCAAAGTGACTGTTGTATATATCCTTCATTTATCCGGGTAAAACATTTCATTACTGTTAAAAATGCCTTTTAAAAAAGAGAGGGGCAGCAATATTGTAACAAATGGATATTATAGCTGTTATAGAGATACTTTTAAGGGACCAAAAAGGATAAGAACGCAACGCAGTCATAACGATACTTGCAAAACAGGTAATTATCTTATATATATATATATAAAACACCTTCATAAATCCTATTCACTACAGTCTGTTTACCATTTAAAGTAAATATATTAGATCTCAAACATACATAAATTCTGGACATTACTTCATGGCACAAAACCTATGTTGCAAACATGAGGTTGTGGTTTACTCGGGGCCTGTCTAGGCTGGAGTGAAAGAAAGTCGTTCAAAAAGTCAAACTTGTAGGATTACAAGGATTAGGGGAAAGCAGCAAAACAAGTAGCCTGATGCTACACACCTGAGGCGAAAAAGAAGGGTTTACTGTCATTTTTCTTGTCCGTGTGGCTGGCACTTTAACAAATCCTGGTTATTTCAGTGGTTATGAAGGTGGTTAGCTTTTTTTGGTTGTAGCTAGGTGTGTTACTACAGCATAAAATTAAGACGCTATTTTGTGGAAGACATACCTGCACATAGAAGTTAAACCAGTTTTTATTTAGGTCAATTCAGATAGACATAGCTGAATTAAAACATTTTTCAAAGAGTCTTAAGCATTGGGATGTTTCCCTCCTTTCCGTTTCCTTCTTCGCCGACGGGATTACCGAGCACAGTCTTTCACGCATGCGCGGGAAGACCTATTGAAGTTCCTTTTTTTTTTTTTTTTAAACAAACTTTGTCGACCCCTCTGATGGCGGCGCACGTAAAACGTCGGGGTGAGCCCGGCCAAAAGAGCTTGTCGTCTGAGGGAACATCCTCCACAACCGAAAGACAAACATCCGGGGATACCTCAGCGGTGCTGCTGAAGCTGTTAGCGGCGGTCTTTTACGGAGTCAGCTCGTTTCTCATCGTCGTCGTCAACAAAAGCGTCCTCACAAACTACAGGTAAAGGTGCAAAGTCTAAGTTACCTGCTGATTGGTGGGGCACGTTTGACCAATTTTACACCGTTATCAATAAGAAGAAGAAGAAGAAGAAGAAGGGGTGTCAGACAAACGAAGCTGGACATCTGAAAACTGTCAGAGAAATGGGTCCAGGTGAAGCTTTAGGTACCACAGGACACGCACCTTTGACGTAACCTCTGCCCCACTGCACACAACACACCCAGGGGTGCAGCTGGATGTACTCTGCACACAAGATAATGCTGGAAATGTTCTATAATGTTATTATCATCATTGTTATTATTTGTTATAAACAAAGCTTTTTAAATGTAGGGTAAAAATAACTGATATGTATAAATGTGACTGTGTTCCAGGAGAAGGTGCAGAATTTTAGCTTTTAAATGTCAAAAATAAAAGTAGCATCCTATACCAGAACACTGGCCACCTCATTGGGTACGCCTGTTCAATAATATCTCATCAGAGAAAAGTGATGATTGAAGTCACTTTCAACTGGTATGGTTCTTTTTGCTGCTGAACTGCTGTGATTTTCCCAACTCAACAACCGACTCTAGAGTTTAGAGAGTATAATCAAAAATACAAATAAAGGAGAAAATACGCAGTGAGCAGTAGTTATCTGGGAAAGATACCTTCTTGATCTCAGAGGTCAAACAGTAACTCAACTATTTTTTACAACCAAGCTACGAATGCGTAACACATCAAACCTCTTATGAATCTCAATATGTGTGAGGGTCAGAGTTGGGCATAAACAAGATGAAAACATGCATCCAAAACCAGAAAGTCCTCCAAAAAAGTGGACAACTTCCAGGAAATGAAGCTTCTCATCCTCACATCGTCTATAATGGAATGTCAGGTAAAGCATCATTCATATGACTGAGTCGTGTGTCGTCTTGTTTTACAGATTCCCGTCATCAACATGCGTTGGAATTGGCCAAGTAAGCATCTCTTTAAAGCTGTTTTCTGTTTATGTGGTAGCACCATCTGATGTGCCGTGCCCCCCTTTCCTTTGCAGATGCTGGCTACGGTTGTAGTTCTGAGGATTGGGAAGATGTTGGGAGTTATCTCATTTCCAGATTTGGATTCGAGTATTCCACACAAGGTGAGGTGGGGATTTATAAAGCTGAAAATCAAAAGATGAAGAACTGGTCATCGCATTTCACACATACCCTGTCTTTCCAGATGTTCCCGCTGCCGCTGTTGTATGTCGGGAATCAAATATCAGGACTGTTTGGGACCCAGCGCCTCAAGTGAGAACTTCATAGAACATGACACGAGACGCAGCATCCCAAATGTGACTTGCCAAACTTAACAGCTTGTATTTTTCTGCCTCAGTTTACCCATGTTTACTGTGCTGAGGAGGTTCAGTATTTTTCTTACCATGGTGTTTGAGGGATTCTTGCTAAAGTAAGAAAATAATTTATTTTCTCTCAGATTTTTCTGTATAAATAACTGATTTTAACACTGCCACCCGTCTACTTTCCTCACAGAAAGACCTTTTCTACCTCCATTAAAACGACGGTGTTCACCATGATCTTTGGTGCTTTCATCGCAGCCAGGTGAGACGGTCACATACACAGACACCGCCATCCGCTTCAGGCTTTATGAAGAGGCACGTGTGTGATTCTTTGCCACGTCCTGTGGCGTTTTTTGCTTTGTAGCGCCGACTTAGCTTTTGATCTGGAAGGATACGTATTCATAATGCTGAATAATGTTCTGACAGCAGCCAGTGGGGCATATGTGAAGCAGAAGCTGGACTCCAAGGTGAGCAGAGCAGCAGGTCACACAGTATATATACTGGCTGTTTGTCATGAAGACTTTAAAGGGTCATCTTCTCCCATCCACACAGGAGCTGGGCAAATATGGTCTTCTTTATTACAATGCTTTGATAATGATTTTCCCCACTCTGGCGTACGCTTACTACTCAGGGGACTTGCAAATGGTAAGTTTTCAAACACTGATTGGTTTGTAAGACTCAAGAGTCAGAGAGCTCAGATAATCAGTGCTGTGTATGTGTGTGCGTGGGTGTTCGGGTACAGGGGCTGGAGTATAATGGTTGGTCTGATCACATGTTTGCTGTGCAGTTTGTGCTCTCCTGTGTCATGGGGTAAAGTAGACGCCTAATCGTCATTGTTTATTCCATGATTGCCGACTTTGGTCTTTTCGTCTAACTCTGCTTCGCTTCATTGCACAGATTTATTTTGATGTACTCCATCATGCTGTGCACACAGTACAACTCCGCACTCACCACCTCCATCATTGGCTGTATTAAGGTGAGTCATCTCAGGCTGGCTCACGCTCACAGTTTGATGTGTAGTGCGTACATGTGCAGTGACTTTCCCTGCGACATCCACAGAATATCCTCGTGACATACATTGGAATGGTGTTTGGAGGAGACTACATATTCACATGGACTAACTTTATAGGTCTGAACATCAGGTAAGACAGATTCAACAGCTGAACTGTTGAGCTGATTTAGGAGCAGTGTAGTTCAAAGATGATCGAGATATATTTGTTCTGGGGCTTCCTTGTGTGTCCAGACATAAGTGGAAAACGTATGAGAGGAGATCGGCAGTAAACTTCACTGAGCACCAGATAGGGCATTGATTCATTCAGATACAGCAAAGAGAGGAGCTGAAGAGGGTTGCAAAGTGGCTTGCAGAAGCATAGCAGACATGGGTGGAGGAAGGAGCTCAGACTTCATTCTCAAAGGATTAGAGGGCTAGAGATTGGATGGCAAACCCCTAAAAAATGTGTCCCGGTGTAGTCCCCAGCTAGCTGGCAATTAGTTTCTGAAGACTGCTGGCTGTTGCCAATGAAATCAGTTGCAAAGAGGGTGCTGCACCAAAAACCTTGTGATTGCTTTGATAGCCAGTAGATCGCCACGATTGCGAGTAGTTTGGAGTAGTTTGCCAACTTGTCTGCAGACACTTTCCAACTAACTGCCAAGTGTTAGTGAAACTTGAGAAAATGATGACACAAATCGAAAACAGATACAGATTTGCCCAAAAAGTACAAGTTGTAGCTTACCACCACAATCAAAAAGCACAAGTTTGACTTCGAAGGTGAATGCTTTTGGGTGTCATGATGTGGGGCGGGTGCACCGTGAAACCAGTTATATTTATATAAATAAAATCAACGGAATAAACGATTTGTCAGTCATAAGTTGTAACACATTCAGCCGACCACAGATAATCCTTTTAGAAACTGTCCTAATTTCATATCCTAATTTTTAACAACACGTTATGACCAATGTTTATAAAACAGACTTGATTTTTTTCCCACTTTAGTATGACCCAGCGACTGAGCCATAAACTCATCAGGAAAGTGTTTATTAGAGTGGTCAAGGAAGAAAGCTGTTAGGTGGCCTTCAGATAGAATACAGGTTTAAGCCACTTCCACCTTTACTTCATTTTTCCAAACTGGAAGCTCTGCCCATGTTTTAGAATGTCTGTGATAGGAAAAAGTTCAATACTCGATTAAAAAAAAAGTACAGGAGCACATTTTCTCATCTTTGTTTCTCACAGCATTGCTGGGAGCTTGGTGTACTCCTATATCACCTTCACACAGGAGCAATCAAGTAAGAACAGTTAAAATGAGTCAAAACCACACAAGGTTTCACCTTATCGATGTTTGGAATTTAACAATATAGTTTTTACATTGTTTTTCACTGTACGAGTCTCTGTACGAGTTCAGAGGATCGTACACAAAGTGGACGAGTCTCTGAAGTTAACTGCTTTATATTTTAACAGAAAAGGCATAAACCAAAGACTGAAACCCCGCCTGGGACGGAAGAACTTCAGCAAAATTTTCATGTGTCGTCTTCTATGTGGAAATGTTTTTATGAGTGGAGGCAAACACAGAGAAGACTCGTGGATGTAGTGAAAGAGGAAACACAGAGAAGGTTGTTCAGCCATGAGAGAGGACAATCTGCTGCGGTGATCCCTGAAAGGAGCAACCAAAAGACTATATGAACTTAATTTTTATACTTGTTCATTTTCATTAATTTCCAAATTAAAAAATATCTATTTTTTATTAATTCTGTTTCGATACATAACTCGGAATTAACTGTACATCATAAATAATTTTCTAATGAAGCTGTTGTTATTCTGTTATTGACTCTATTTTGCACAGTAATTCAATGAAATGCCAGTATTATTCAAGTCATAGCCAGCCTTGGAATACACTTTATTTTTATTCACGCCATCATTTACATAGAAATAAAAGACAATATTGTCCAAACAAAAAAATCCATTAACATTATTTGAGACAAACTCCTCTTATCTTCTGAATGCACGTTCAATGATGGAATATAAAATAAAACATTTAATCGTTACGCTGAACAGCTACTGTACCAAAACATCATTAGGTTCTTTCAGGTGACACCTTCACATCAGCCAGGTCACTTTTACTCCTGGAAATCTGCTGTGTGGAAGCCAATTACTGAGGAATGACAGAAACTAAGCTCTGGTTTTAAAAAAAAATCTCTGCATATTCAAAGCTGCACACAAGAAGGAGCTTTTTTTGCAACGAACTCTCTGAATCAGCGTCACACAGGAAAGGGAAGCACTGCCAAACAGAGGGAAAGAGGAATAGCTACTTTGTTTTTTTTATTATTATAACCGTCTTGGAGAAACAAAAGTAGGATCAGTTTTCCAACAAAAAGCACAGCCTACAAGGAAGACCAGAAAATACAGACAAACAGACAGTTATAAAACCGCTCGAGGTAAGAAATCTATACAAACTTTACATGAAAAATCACATTCTGACTAGTAAAAACAAAGTGTTGAGCAATGCACCGACTATGAAAATTCAAAAATACAGAGATCTTCTACATGGTGACTTATAATACAGGACATCACTGATGTCAGCTGCTTTACACAAACAAACCTGCAGGAGGAGTCACCCTCTGGTTTATTTATCTGAAACAAACAGCCAGAGAAAGAAGTGAAGGAGTGAACATGGACTTCTGCTGGGTTCTGACGCCACATCTCATTGATAGAGACGGGAAACGTACAATCAAAGTGCAACTAAAGTGAGAACTAGCTACAGCACCAGCCTATTCCTCTTGTTTTTACTAAGCATCTTTATTCTAGCGTAAGCATGTAATCACTTAGACATGTCCTGTTTCATCAAATCCTTATAACAGCAAGCAAATGGCTTCAATGGCAATCACCCATCATTAGACTAGGATTTATTTACTTTTGTTAAAAAATATAAATATCTTGTGTAAAAAAATATTGAAGGTGATTTATTATCTTTAAGAACAAATAGAAAAAGGGAATTCTTGGCAAAATTTTGTCAGGCTCCAAAAAGGGAGGCTGGGGATGTTTTGATGGACGTTATCTAGCTATGATACTTTGGGATGCGCTTGGGGGGGTTGATGGGATGGAAGGACGTCGGGGTGGGGGGGGTAACTGCCGCCCCTCCTGGAGGACCTCGGTTGGCTGTTCTTCAAGATGTGATTTTCAGTGACCTTTGACCTCAAAGCCAGTCTGTCTCTCTGTCAGGAGATGCTATGCTCATGGGTCAGTAGGGTTCATTTTCCTCATCCTCTGCCCCCCTAAATCTACCATCACTGGAGAAGTACAAACATTTTTCACCCCCAATTCAGTGTCTGTTAGTCAACGCTGCTCAGCTGTGAAGCCATCAATTCTCCTGTGTTCTGGATGGTTCCACTTCGCTTTGGCACACGGGCTCTGCCTCCGTCCTGCACCTCTTGGCCGGCCTGTCGGGTGCTGTGTCCCTGTGGTCTAGCAGAGGCTCCAGGGAGCCATTTCTGTCGAGGGTGGGTGCAGTGGGCTGGCTGCAACCGTTGGAGTTGTTGTCTGAAGCTGGAGGCGGAGCTTCCAGCAGATGGGACGGACCGTTGGACTGAACGCCCTCAGATTTGACTTGGTTTGCTGGCGGCAACTGAGCACCATCCACCGTGTGGCTTGCAACACCTAACGAAGAAAGATGAAACACGGGGTTAGACATATTTAACAAGTATAAGAAAAAAAAGCCATTCAGGTGTTGTTGGATGTTTTCCATCAGGTTCCTGAGATTCCACCATTTACAGGGAGTGCAACCTTCATGCAGAGGTTTATAGACGTGATCACGTCACATTACTTGTCAGCCATTTTGGACATGTAATAATCCTGAAACCTAGTGAAAAACCTACTAAACATTGTGTAGATGCGATAAACCATGGCATCTATGAGTAAACAAACAAGTGTATATACTCAGAGGAACATCTTGATGAATTCTCAATCATCCAGGTAGGTAAATCTGGATGTAGCGTTTTCAGTGGGAGACTGCCACTGGAAAAGCTCCAGTTTGCTGCCATTCACAGATGTTTCTGACACTTTTTTGAAGTGGATCTAAAGTGGGCAGACTCACACTTAGCAAATAAACTCTCGTGATGTGAGAAGGTAATCAAGCTGTTTATCTGAGAAAAAGTACTTAAAGAGTTTTAGGCCGGTGAAGTCTAATATTAGCTGAACGTTATGTTGCTGTTTAGCCATCTCTTGTCAGCTGTCTGGAGACGGGAGGGTTATGTGGCTGATCTGCTGACGATAACTAATTCATGTAGGATTACTTCTTTTAGAACCCTAACTTCCTCTTCAGAGGAAGAGGATGAGATGGAGACGGTGAGGCGAGAGTGGAAGTGGAGGAGACAGATGAAGGAGATAAGAAAGAAACGAGCAAAAAATGAAATTACAAATCTAAAAATTTTAAATGGTCATATATTGTTTGAAATGACTGGTGATTTTAAAATTCAAGTAGCTTATAATTGTTTTACTGTCATACTATTTATCTGATGTCTGTATCCTGTTTTTTAACTGTTTTTTCGTGGTCTCTATCTGAAACAACAGGAAAGTGATTTAAAAAACATTTTTTCTGTCCTTGATGATTGCTGCACCCAACCATGCAGGAGAATACAGGTGTGAGGGAGACAAAAGTGGTCTATGTAAACTACATATGAACAGTGTTGGACAAGTTACTTTGAAAAAGTAATTAATTATAGTTACTTCTTCAAAAAAGTAACTGAGTTACAATATTATAAAAGTAATTAATTACTTGCAAAGTAACTATTGCGTTACTTTAAAAAAAAAAAAAAAAAGTTTAACAGTCTGGTCCAGGGTATAATTGGCCATTTTTAACTACTTTTGATTTTCCTTCCACATTTTACCTTTAATAACTATTTACTTTGCCTTGTTTGTCATCATCCTTTTCAGCACAAAAAACATAAAATCAGAGTACAAAAAGTTTACTGTAACAACCACAAACATGTTTAATGAATCATATTTCATAACTTTAAATGCAAATATAAATTGTCAATTTTAAAATCCTATGCACAAGTTTTGCAAAAAACAAAGTTATTTGCATCCATTTACCTTTTTCCCCCTTTTTTTAAATAACCATTTCAGACTATTTACAGAACAATCAGCTGTTCTGCGTTCAATAAGATGCCACACAAATTATTTGTGCCACTCCAAAACAATCATTTCTGTCCACTATAAAGGAGAACATCACAGCCTGATACCTGCAGGTCTGACAGCTGCAGGTGTATCACTCCTGTTTCTACCTGGAGACAGCAGTCACCTCATTGTTCTGACACACAACACAAAACTATCCGTGCAACTGATATAAGATGCGGTAAGCTGAACACAGCTTCAACCGTCTGTTTGTTGAAAAATAGTAACGGACCGCATTTTCTTGTTAGTAACTGTAACGGCGTTGTAACGATAGGAATAGTAATTAGTTAGATTACTCGTTACTGAAAAAGTAACGCCGTTCCATGTAACGCCGTTAATCCCATCACTGCATATGAATGACTGTATTGAATATTTAAGTGATGGTTCGAGTAACTTTGAGTCAGTTTTCAAGCACAGGATCATAGTTTGTCTTAAATTCTTGTCATTTACCCAAAACTCTCATTAAATGAAAGGCTGGTTATATTTTAGGATAAACGTAGTGCACTCATGTATTTATCAGCTCACCATTCTGACTGCTGCTATCTTCTCTCTCCGAGTGGCTGGCGCTGCTGTTGGAGGTGGTGGGAGGAGGCGATGCTGCCCTGCTGGATGTCGCACTCTCCGTCTCATCCAGTAATCTGTCCATATAGTCACTGATGACAGAAAGCAATGCACACAGTCTGTTACACAACCTAAACTGTTCATATGGTTTAGCAGTCTGTGTGGTCAGATGTCCCTCCCCAGTCTGACAGTGACTGTGGGTGGTTTCTACGACATTAAATCTATAGCTTCACTTATGCGATGGCTTCTATAAACCAGCTTTGATTCTTTCACAATCCTTAAAGACAGAGCCACAAAAATTAAATAAAATTCTCTTTTTTTCTACAATCAAGGAAATAAAGAGACAAATCTCTGCTGGAGCAGCTGCTTGAAGATGAAGATGAAGATGACGGTCAGCAGGCTCCAAGAAGAGTTCAAACAAAAGGATGAGCTTTTCTCAAAGAGAAAAAGACAGTTCTCACAAAATCCTGTATAGATTTGCACAAACTGGCTCAAAAGTAAGATCAAATGAAGAGCACCTGCCAGTCCACTGAACTAACCGTAAAGAAGAGACAGGTCAGAGAGATGTTCAAGCTAGAAAATGAGAACAACTGATGACCACTAAGGAACAGAAGGAAGCAGCAGACAAGGCACAACAGAAGATCAACAACCAGTTTCAGGTACGCTGCCTCAGCAGACTATTTTATAATAATGTGGCCATCACTGGTGCCAAAGGGGCTTTAACCAAGTATTTGCAAAGCTCTTAATACTTAAAAAAGAAGATTTTTACACAAGCAACCTCACAGTTGCAGGAGGTTGCACATTCTTCCATTACTAATTTTCTATGAGCAATGTTCTTCAAAATTGCATACACTTTTTTAAAAGTTAACTTACGTGACACCGGGGTGAAGGTTGTATTTCCTTTTCCCAAGTCTGGTTTGCTGTGCAAAGAAATCATAACGCTCAGACTTCTTCCACATGTAATAAAAGGCCACACATTCTCCTACAGACCTAGTTCTCACCTGAAAGATTTAATTCAGCAGACATGAAATGACCATTATTACCATCACCTGAAGACAGTTTCAGGACAGATTCAA